ATGAAGGCTGCTGAGGCTCAGTCATCTCTATATTGGGAGTTTTCTGTTTAGCTTCTTTCAAACAGAAAGGAGTCAATTTGTTGGAAATGGAGAAAGTTCATGACACCAGTCCACTCCATTAACAAACAGTTCATTACTGTAGATAACAGCATGCTTTTTAGTGTACAGTTAAATAGGAAATTAAGAATCTCTGACTTCACTTTGAAGAGTTGAAGTTTTCCTTGGCTCTTGGGCTTGGAAGTGCAGAGTTGCCCTATCCCAAAAGGGAGCCCAATAGAGCACCCTCAAGTCAAACTTCAACATATGGTGAAATACTTGTACGACAGCATGTTCAGTATGAGCCTCGACTTCACTATGTCATTCACTACAGTGGCATTTTCTAGGAATTGCACGAGTGCACACGACAACGTAAAATGAATGAACATGGTATAGTCTACAAAGTAAACCAGGTATCTGACTTAAATTGATATAAATTTGCATTTGTAATAAACATCACAGGAAAGTAAGTCATCCCTAAGCCATATCCTGAGCTTACCTTGATTCCAAGTTTACAGCTGAAATATTTTCGTTATAAAAGACAGACATAAATGACCTCATATTATCACAGAAAAATACATAGGACTCAAGGATGCAGTAATGGTTCTTCATTGTTTTTCTTGTACTCATTTGATGACGGGTCATGCAGCAGCTACAGTTTGCCTCTGCAGGTGGGCTTCTTGAGGGCCACATTACATTTCCCCTCTGCTGGTCTTCAGCTCCAGCTCCTGGAGGAAGGCCTCATTGTTCTGAGGACAGTTGGTGTGACAGGTACAGGTTCCGATGACCATGACTGGTTTCTTGATGATTTGCCCTGGGGAGCACTGGAACTCCACCTGGATGGTTTTGGTGTTGTGGGGTGTGCAGCATCGGCCATCGCTGCAGACTCCACAGAACCTGGGCTTATAGGTGTGCAGGCTGGTGCAGTTCTTGAACTGCAGGTGGATGGCTTTGAGTGATTTCTTGGTGCGGAGACATTTTTTTCCTTTCTAAAAGAAAAGGAGTGATATGAGGAATGATGACCACACTTCTGATGGACAGTGTATACAAAGCCAGTTCTTTCCACTATATGATGACCTCAGGAAACTTGAAGTTGATGGGATTTAAGATACTTTCTCATCAGTGTGAAGTAAGTGGAGAATTAATTTAAGATTCCTTAAATAAACTGGATAGTGAGGAACCCTGGTGTTGATTTTCAGCAGAGAATGGACTGTTTTATTTCCTACTTCAATTCTTAAGCTGTGGATTTTCCAGAGTTCTCCCCTGATCACTTTTCTAGGCACAGCTTGTGGGGTGAATAGACTCTAAATTCTCTTTGATTAGATGATCTTGAAACCTAGTGTGCTACAGAATCATTTCCTGGGAGTGTTAACACACAGACTGTTGGGTCTCACTTCCAGAGTTTCAGATTCAGTACCTCTGATGTGGGGCCCACAAATTTGCTTTCTAACAAGTTTTTAGATGCTGCTACTCGTCTGGGGAGTACACTCTAAAAGCCACCATCTCATTGAAGAATAAGGGAGAAATGATTATTATGTTTGTACTTCCCTAGGTTTCAAACAACTTTCTAGAACTTTTATGACATATGTACAGTATAAATAAACATCTCAAATATAATACCTTGCAATGTTAAATGAGGTTCAAAGTACTAATTTCGTGAAAAAGAAACAATTGAAAATGTCAAATTTTAGAAGATGGAAAGACCTTATTTAATAAAGTAGCTATTATGTCCTTGAAAGTATTGAAAGGCTTCTCTTTTTTTGCATGTTTAAAGTTTTAATGTCTAGCATAAATTTTTGTCAACATCTACAAAAAGAGGCTCAAAGCATCCCCATGGGGCAGTATATGTGTGCTTGTATATGTGTGAGTATGTGTGTATAAATGTGTGACTGCTTGTGTGGGTTAAATATACATGGCTATTACATGTATGTTTCCTAAGTGTGGGGAGATACATCTTTTAGGGTATAATTTTCTAGAAAAGATGTTTTTAGGAGTTCTTTTGAAGTGATAGAAGCAACATGATGTTAGGATGGACCTCAAAAAATCTTATGGCTAAATAGCCATATAACTAATGCAACCACTAGGGACTCTTTTATTTTATCAGTAAGTTGAAATTTTAAGTAATGATGGCTACTGTTAACAGAATATTTAATCTATGCTCAGCACTTGGCAAATTCATTCTGCTTAATCCTTCTGCTAACCTTGAGGTAGACACTTTCAATGACCCCATTATACGGGGGAAGGAATTCAGGCTGAGAGGTTAAGGAAATTTTCCAAGATCACCCAGCTAGTTCATGCTGAAAGTGGGATTTAAAGCCAAGCTGTCTGGCTGTAGAGTTGTAGCCTTAAGCATTAGATGATCTTGCCTCTGTGTAGAGATATGTCAATCTTGAATTTCTGAGGGCTGTTTTATTTTGGCATTAGGTTTGTTCATAGAATGGTTCAATTTAGGTATTGCATTTTTCTGATGTAGGGCTCTGGTAACAGGGGCTGTGATGTCATCACGAACCAATCAGAGCTTCGGATCTGCATGCCTTACACTCAGAGTTAACACACTGAGCTGACAGAATTCCAACAAAAAAAGGAAAGAAATACACTGTTTCACTTGGCTCACATGTTGCCTTATGATGGCAAGTGTACTGTTTCCACTAGGCTTTAACAAATACCGACAGTAATTCCCAGACACTCATTCATGTATTCATCAACAATAGTTGATAACGCACACCCTGTGTTCCAGGTAGGGTGCTGGGCATTTTGGGGAAGAATAAGCAGACACAGTCCCCACCAATGTGTTTCATGCTGATTGAACCTAAGGGGTGAAGGAAACTGCAGTCAGAGCTGACCTCTTTCAAATCAGTTGTGTTTGATGACAGGGTAGTGGATTTTCTCCAGGAATGGAAAGGGATCTGCGGGTCCATTTTCTATTGGTGAAAGTATTACAGTTGTCTAGCTCTTCCCTCTTTTCCTGTAGATCTGCTGTAGGTTGCTTGGGGGGGTATTTGAATACATTTAAAAAGGGGGAGAAAGAAGCTACTTGGTCTGCATTCAGGAAGCTCTCTGCCTTTTCTCTGGGATTAATGCCCAACTAGAGACAACCTGAGTCAACTAGTATTCCAAGTGACTTGCTGAGCCCAGGCTCCCAGAAGGCAAGGCCACTGCTTTCACAGTGGCAGGTTCCTACCTTATCTGTTGGTTGCTCAGGCTCTTGTTCACAGGGCCGCACCATGCAGAGCCGAGACTGCTTCACCATCTCACACTGACGATTCCTGTTGGTGACCCTGGTGGAAAGACCCATTCCACAGCTCTTGGAACATGCACTCCACTCTGTGGTCTGCTCAATGCAGTTGATGCTCGAGTCGGAGACTTCGACTCCTACGGTGGCTTCTGGCCTGTAGGCTAGGGGGTGGATAAAGAAAGACAGCTATCTTGGGGAAAATGTAGAGATCAAAGAGTGCTCCTTTAAGCCAACATTACAAAGTGGATCTCATTAAATTTTGTACCTAATGAACACAGGTGCTCTGAAGGCACAGAAATGAAATTATCTGTAAACCTTTCTAGGTAGCACCATGCCTGCTACATTGTAAGACTTCCAGAAATCTCTGCAGAATAACTGTCCAACGAGACCTTAAGAAACTTAGGCTAACTTGTCTTTTTAAAGTTTACCAGTTTTAAGACTATAGAACAGTACAACATTGGAGACTATTCCATAATAGTTTTCCATGTGTTTTTGTACATAAAAAGGATTGTGAGAAAGTTTTAATCTTGATGAGTAAATAGAATTGGCCAAGTCAAAATAGTGATAAAAGCAATGCTTTTAGTAGGTAGAACTGGTTGTTTGGGTTCTGGGAGATACACACACACACACACCCCTGGACTCTGATCACAGACAGTTCCATCTCAAAACTTAATATACATGGCTTGGGGGATATCTGTTCTGCAAGGCAGTTTTCCTATCAGCAAGACATGTCTGATAATTTCTGACCTCAGAAATACTGAAAAACTGTGGATTCTGCCAATATAAACAATGTGGTTGATTAATGGCTCCTAAAATATTCTCTACTGTCTCTTGAGATCTCTCCATCCTCAAACTATGTAATATATAAGGAAATAAAAAGTAATGCAAAACAAAGTTCCTGAAGTGTCACTTGGCCCTTTCTACAGCATCTGGAAAGATGGTATTTCTCTGTGACCACTGTATCAGGAGGAGTAGCATTCCTTAGGGAGGCTAGTTCCAAGAAAGCACAGGTGGTATGCAGAATCCAGAAAAGGAGGATTCTTACTTTTATCCTCATAGTGCTAATAAGGGTCAAGTTGGATGAATGGACTAAAATACAAATAGTAGTCATAAGACAAAAAAAAAAAATAGCGACTGAATTTTTCAGGTCCTCTTTAGGAAAAGTTGTGCGTACACTTCAGTAACTTAGTTTGGATTGAAAGACATGGTGCATTTAGTCTCAATGGATAATCTGGAATCCATAGCAGAATGGCCAGAAACCGAGGCCAGCTTCTCATCCCAAACCCAAACAATGCATGTGATTTGTGCTTGCATTCACCCTGTGCCGAGACCATTCCTTAGTATACCGAATGGCTCACCTGGAAGGGCAAGGCCTCCCAATGCCCCCTTCTCATTGGGGCCACAGGTCCACTTTTCACAGCACTCTCCAGGCACAGCAACTTTTCTGGGAGCTGGGCAGTCAGGACCAGGCAGTAGCACATCCAGCTGACACCGGGGCACACAGCCAATCTGTCCGTCTCTACAGGTGCAGTGGTATTGGCAGTTTGGCTCAAACTTCTCTCCGCTGCGGTAAATTACCCCATCGAACACACAGTTGTCTCCTTCTAGCACTAGAATATTGCGGGAGCAACACAGAGGGAAGAAGAGAGAGAAAAACAATAACAGTGCACTGAGAGAGCTATGTGAAATTTGGAGGACATGTTCCAAAGTCTTTCCTTTTCTATTCCAGGTGATCTGGTTTCTGATGCATTTCCAGGAGACAGATGTCTTCATGGAGTCCTCCCAGAGCAAGAGGAAACCTCCAAGACCATCTAGTCCTGCTACATTTACCTAGTCCTTTTGAATGGGGAAAGAGGTGTGTGAAACTGTAAACTCAGTACTGCCAAGATAAATAAGCTGACAAATGGCTTCTGAAGTATTCTCTGCTTCCTTTTGAGATTATCTGCCACCCCCCAACTTTTTCATTTATAAGATAGAACAAAAGGAAGAGCAATTGTGAGTTGTTCTTGACACACTGTTGTCCCCAATGACAGTCATTTTACAAGAAACATCTCTGATTTTTCTACTTCAGTACTTTAGACTTAAAAAGGAAGAAAATGCACTTCATATACTGCAAAGAGGTTATTAACTAGTCAAATAAAGGGCATTAAGATTCCTTAACATTGAAGCACAATAAATCATTGGCTTAGAGAAAAAACTGTAAAGGACTTCAAGCCCTGGTATCCAGGAAGGCAGAGACATCCTCCAAGTATGGTGGTGCACCACGAGGGAAATTGAACCCCAATTGATTAAATTTCACAAGCCTGGATTGGCTAGTTGCCTGAATTTTACTTTACACGCAACCCAGACAGGGTTTACATCGTCCTCCCAGGAGACTAGAAGCTGCTGTGGCTTTAATAGGACAATTACAGGTGTGAAAACAAACCTGCTGGGCTGCAGGTGGGGAACTGTAAGCCCGTGAGTGAGCCCAGCTTTCCATCATCCCCAAATTGTCCCTCTGGAAATGTCCAAAGGAAATGATTTCACTGGTCCTTAACCCTATTTCGCTCCCTGTCTCCAGTCCATTTAGATTCTTCTCTAGAGATGCAAGTGATGAATGCTTCTCACCTTCGTGGGCAGGTTTTCACTCTAGCTTCTGGCGCTCTCCAAATCCCAAGCCCCCTCGGACTTGGCATGGCAAGCACTAAGTGCTCCATAAACATCACTTATTGCATTATTATTATTTGCTTATCACCCTTTGGGAAAGGGAATAAGAGGAGAGAAGGTGGGGAAACCGCTCCTGCTAGCTTGGGAGAGAAGAAGTCAAGCGACAGAGGGGGCAGGTTACCCATGCAGATGCCAGTCTGGTTGCTGGGGTCGGCGCTACGGTCGCAATACAGTCCGCTGCTCTGATCGCAAGGCTTCAGCTCAGAGCAGCTCTCTCCGCGCTGGCGGGCGCACACTAGACAGCAGGAGCAACCGTCCAGCACCGCGCGCACCCCTGGGGCGCAGGTCGGAGGCGTCTCGGGGCACTGGCGTGGGCACGGTGAAGGGCAGCGCTGAGTCGCAGAGACCTAGGGAAGGTGATGAGACAAAAAGAAACCCTTCAGCAGGGACAACCGAAGGCAGAGCGAGCCCAGGGACTGAGCAGAGGCTGTCCAGGAGGGTAAAGTAACCAGGGGCATTTTAGGGGTGTGCCACCTACCTGACCCAGGAGTTGGAGTAGGAAGGCCAGGCAAAGGCACCTCTTTTGCACAAAGAGGTTCATGCTCTGCACCTTGTGCATGCTCAGGATTTTTCCTCCCGCGTTTCCAAGAGGAGACTTTGCAGCCTGTGGATTGGCACTGCCCGCCTCTCGACAGGTCTGCTGAGCCGCAAGCGCCACCGGCGCAGGTTTTATAGTGCGCTCCTGGGACGCGCACAAGCCGGTTGGCTGCAGCGCAGGGAGGAGGGGGGAATCCGTTGGGTGGGGAAGTGGAAGGAACCGCGGGGTTGTCATGGCAATTGGCCTTAAGGCTGCTCTCCTTAGGGCGCGGCGCGGGGCCTGCGTGTGCCTGTGTGTGGCGACTGGCTTTTCCCAGAGCGCGGGGAGGGGCTGGGTGGAACCCCGAGGCCAAGACCCAGGGCTCACCAGCGCGTGGGAAGGAAACGCCCGTTTCCTCCTGGAAGTTGCTTCACCTTCCCCCAGGACAAAGACACCGCCACTCCCCATCACCCTCCTCCACCCCGACTGACTGTTCCAACCAGGGCTGCAAACGTGGGGCCCTTTTAACGGGATGCCTGAAGTTTGGGGCCATCTGTGGGGGATTGGCGAGAGGCCCAGGGGTTTAGTCATAAGGAAAGCACATGCGAGTTTGTCACCGTTTAGGGCACTCCTTGAATGTGTTGTGGAGGGATGGAGGAAAGGGGAGAGGAGAAGGGGAAAAAGTTAAAACAGAAAAGTAAAGAAATCTCTTTGTAAGAGTGGGGGATGGATGCTATTGGCCAAATGGCAAAATTCTTTTGACTCTAGTCATTCCAAGTTTTACTAAGTCTTAAGCCCCAAGTTCCATGGGTTTGGTAGAAATAAAAGTAAAACACAATAAAACACAAATCAATGACAGAAAGAAGCTTTCCTCTTGGTCAAGGGAAACACCTGCTGGATTATGCCAATTGAAAAACAGCACATGTAAAAGTCCAAGAGTCTTTGAAAGTTTGGTCCAACTTAGCCAATGTCAAAACCTCAGCAAAGCGGGGAAAGGAGCAAAGGGAGGGACTTGCTTGACTTGGCAGATTCTTTAGCAATGGAATACCTCTCCCACCTGGCAACCACTTTCAAAAAACTGGCTGCTGTGAAATGCTTGTCATCTCTCATGAGAAAGAGAGAGCAGTTTTATTGCTCCAAAGGTGACATTGCTTGAGGATTAAAAACAACCCCCCCCCACTTCAACTTTGCTGCTTCCCTGGGGGGGGGAGACAAAACAAAACTATGCCCAGCTTCTTTGAGGGTAGCTCAAAGAAGACTCCTTATAAGAAAAAATATACAGCTGTGATGTAAACCTAGACTTTAAAAGAAACAAATTGCCTCTACATCATCTATCTACAAAGGAAATCAAAGGCAGCTTGTTAAAGGACCAGGCCTGTCCCCGCAAAGCCCCCAGTGGATGAGGTCACCTCCAGCCCCTTCAGGATAGCTCTCTACAGCTTGGAACTGCTCTATGCACTTTCAAGCTTCCAAGAAGTCTTCTTTCTTCAAGGAAAATGAGACTGTGCAGTACTCAAAGTTTAACCAGAGGTAGAACAGTTAATTTTCATGCCTGAGAGGGACATTCATATACTTATTAAGTCAAAGGGCTTCATGGGGCATCTGTCCCAGAGATGGCCTCCACCTGATTGTACATCAGAAACAACCAGAATGTATAGTTTCTAAAAGTATAGATTGCCAGGCCTTGCTTTCGACCCATTCAGTGGTGGCTGTTGGTAGACTGCCCCTTTAATGTACTGTGCAATGGAAGCTGCTTTCTGGAAAACTAGACAGGAAGCAAGTCCAAGCATGGCTGACGGAAGGCAAAGAGCCATGGCCAAGTTTTCAGAGTGTGAGTGGACTAAACCAGAATGAGGAGAAATTGACAACATTAGTGTTGGAAAGGGAAAGAATGAGAAGAAAGTTGTCATTTGAAGACAGGGATGCAAATGTCAAGAAGTCACTGCTAAAGCAAGCTGCCACTCAGGACTCTTGACTATGAGTGATGGAAACCAAACATAAATGAGTTTTGGCTAAAGGAAGACTTCATGGAAAGGATGCTGTGGTATTTTGCATAGTAACTGAATGGGAATGGTGCCACTTGGCCTCATAGGCCACTAGGATCAGGGACTTGAAGGCAGATAGGACCCCCTGAATCAATCCTCTGTGATGTTTCTTTGTGTTGTCAAAACACAAAACTACTTCTTCTATACCAGGGAGGATGGTCCTTTCAAACTTCTTATTTTATGACTTGCCACCCCAGAAAGATGTCCCTTTCCCTTAGACACAATGTAGAATGATGTAAAATGGAGTTTTTGCACCCACCCTGGGCTGATCCATGGAGTCGAGGAAGATGAGGTTTGGGAATTCCCTAACACACCTGGTTGGAATGGGAAGGTGGAACAGTTCTCTAGGAAAGCAGGGGTTACTCTTTCAGAAGAAAGTAAGATTTTGAGCAAAACAATACTTAGCCATTCAATCATTTGCTATAAATGATGGATCAGGTTCTCCATGTTAAAACAATTGTAAATTGAGGGTAAAACCATCTGAAAATAACCACATGACATCTAAAGTCATCCATGCTGGCATGGATGTGGTCTTCCTGGCTTGTCTGCCCCAGCTTGCTTCTCTCTGATATTACTAAATCATTACAGCTCTGTTTCTGCATCTTCCTGCCTCTCCTGCCTGGGAGTCCCTTGAGGACAGGTAGTGTGCCTGTATCCATTATAATATCCCATCACCTCGTTTCGGGACAGGCAAATGATCAGTTGTTCTTGGGCCTTTTGAGGTACTGCAGACCTAACTTTAACCTTTGGCACTTGTCACTGCCCTGCATAAGATGAGGTAAGAACTGGAGACTCTTTGTCCTTTAGCAATAGCAGAGGCTAGATTGGTCCTAGCAGCCTCACCCATCTGCTTCTGCCATCCAACTTCTCTCAGTCTTTCTTGGTACTCAGAGTTAAAAAGTTACCATATAGATGGTGATTTTTTCTTTTGTGAAATAGACTCTGTGACAGTTGAGGTATCTGGGAAAGTCAGGGGAGACCTTATTGGAAAAAAATTGCTGGACTTGGCAACCAACTAAGATGGTAACTGTGTGGGGTAGTGAGCTGCAAGGAACTTGGTCCACATAATTTTTTTTCCTTCAACTTGTCCTCTCTTCCTTCCTCTAATCTCAGATACGATACTAGAGGCTGATTTCTGCCTTTTCTATCCTCATATACTCTGTCAGTTGATCTATAGTCTTATTATCTGTCAATACACCTCCCCAGAACATGTTGGAGAATGTCTATATTTTATAAAGGGAAACCTTAGGTTGTTTGCAATTGTTTTATCTTTCTTATACCTTTAAAAGATTCTAGAAAATGCTGGAGCTTACTTCTGTAACATGAAATTGAAATATAAAGCAAGCCCCTCCTTATTTAAAAATGGGGCAAATAAAGGCAGTGACTATGATGTTATCACCTCCAGGATAGCACCCTGCCTGTCTTTTCCTTAGAGATTATGTTCTCTCTAACTCATAGATATTCATCTTGCCTTCAGTCGGTCATTGTTTAGTCAAGCCACATGTACTTAGCCCTCATAATGTGCCTCATAAATCAACCTCACAGCTCCTTAATAATTTTGTAGCTCTTTTCTGAATTTCCTTCATA